CACGTTTTACTTTTAAAGATTTCAGTACCTAAAAACGCCAGAAATTTCACTATTTCTCGGCCAATACAATTTACAATAAACCAACTCTGTGTTTTCGCTTTCATTTTCAAGGGTAGCGACACCTGTGACAAAGTATACAAACTAATTATACCTACAAATTCTTGTTTGAGATAGAAATCACTAAAATTCTGGTTTAAGTATAGAATAAACATGGAGTCGTGTGTAAAATGTTGTCATCTTACTTGAGGACACAAATTATAGAATTGTTAATAAATATTAATCTGAAAATTAAATACAAATGATCCTAAGTGTCCGTTCTAGTGAGTGAAGTAGTTTGGTTATTGTGCCTGACCTAGTTCCGTCGTAAATCCAATATATTGGCAGACTAACAGTATGGTTAAAATTGAGGTACTTTGGCATTTATTTAAATTATTCTTCTGTTCTCATGAGCATTGAAATTTATTTCACTCACTAGCGGGAACCATTGCGAATACATTGATATATAATAATATTCAATTATGTTAGTTTCTTCGATGATTTGTGTCCTCATCTGAAGCTCTGTTACATGGTAAAAATATACATACTAAATCGCCCCCTTAATAATATTCTATTCCCATTAAAATGTATGCCATGCTTTTTTTGAAGGATCGTATTCTTACAGAATCCAGATTTATATTCAGATTTGTAAAATTCCTGTATCTCAGTCAGCCTTCTTTTATAAAACTTTGGCCATCTAACTTTTCCTATTACCCCAGCTTACAAGCACATAATAAAAAACTAGTTAGATGTATTGATCTAACTACGTATAATTCTACTTGTATTAAAATTAAAAAAAAATTAAAGCCACCTACACTTCTCCACCTCGATTCAATTTCAAATTATACTAGATCGAGGTATATTTCAGTGTCTACAAGTTTTTTGTTTGCTCGTGAAAATAAGAACGCAAAACAAACCTTCAGTTTGCGAAGGAAGCATTTTTAATGAAACTTCAAATCTCGGGAAATTAGAATCAATATTGATGAACGTGACAAGTGCAAGAGACAGGGGTTTACTGACTCTATGATAATAGTTTAATTAAAAAATTCGTCACAGTTCCTTGTTAAATTGGAAGTCCTTTATTTGAAGAGCTCCTTTAAACTTCCATCTGGAGCAGCATTTCAGAGGATGAGAAAAAACTGGCAATTAAAAATAGTTGTTTAGGAAGGACCTAATTATTGGGAAAAGTATTTAGAAAAATGATCTTTCTCGCAGAACAAGCGATTTTCGTACCACGACAAAGAAAATATTGAACAAAAGTGCATATTTTTTTTTATCAAAAACAGGGTTTAGAAGTGAATTGAGTTAGTTTCGAATTATACTCCAGTCGTCCAAAATAGTAGCACATATTACAACCATATGCGACAGCTCTTTGATGTGGTCAATTTCGCCGCGATGACCTTGGACCTTTAACTGGGATGCACGGCGTTGCCAAGTGAGATAAAATGATTCAGTATTGAGGAAAATACATAGGCAACTGATTCCTTACTTATAGATCGTTAAGTTTTGATAAAATTATGGAGAAAGTAATTCAATTTAAATAATTTCAAAATAATTTGGAAAAATGTAATGTATGAAATATTAAATCATTTTTAATTTAAATTACTTATATTTACAAAAAATTTCTTGGTTTATTGTCAAATGAAAATATGATTTTTTTTTCAAAAATAATGAGTGTAATTATAATTAAATTTGTTTACATTTTTTTGTTAACATTACAAAAGTACATGTCGTATATATATATACATATAAGAATTAAAAAACACGTGTGATTTTCAGCATTTATTTACATTTTTTGTTTCTTATTTATAATGGTAGCCTACTAATAACAGTATATAATAATAAAATATTGTATTACAGTATAATAATAAAATAAATACATATTATAATACAAAATACTCTATATTAAATAATATTTAAAAAAATTAAAATATAATTTGATCCAAATAAATCAAAATTCACTTCGACTATTCCTATATCAATGAATATTCATACACTAAGCCAGTTTTATGTTAAAATATATAATATTCTCAGAGGAAATATATAACTGTTACTGGATGTATATTACATATAAAAAACATGATTATTAATTCATAAGATTTATTATTTTCAGATAAGTGCGCCACATGGTTATTTTAAATTTAATAAGATATATATAAACTTTTAAATAATAAATTAAACCATGTAGGTAAATAAAATATTTACATTAAATTATTTCAAAGGTAGTTCGACACAAACGTATCTGACTATTCTCTATTCAGGTTAAGTTTCCATGAATAAGGTTATAAATATTTGATAACTGATTAGGTATTAGGAAAAACTATTATTACAAAACTAACAGTAAATAATAGAATAATTATGTATGTTTGTACTAATTACTTCTTAAAAATACTTACAGATGTTCGTCCAGCGGAAATCTAAAAAAATGAATGTCTTTGTTTTCCTTTTTACATGCCCGATAGGCATTTTTACACTTATGATAGGAACAGTTCATGTTTATTTCACAAATAAACGTTCCTAACACTCACTTTAAACTAAACACACGTAAATAAACAACAATAAACAAGAAAATCAAATCAAGTAAATAATAACGCACATTCACATTTGCAATTGCGGTGTTGCTGTGGAAAGTAACATGGAAAGATCTCCTATTCGACAATACACGAATAGTGATGCAAAGCGGCCGAAGGTGACCGAAGTGTTCTTTTCTTACATGGATTTTAACTGGGATGCATCTCCTTCTTTGTCTTACAAAGTATTTCCCTCTTTTTCACTGTCGCATATGGTTGTAATATGTGATAGTAGGCAGTATTTCTGTTTTTGCTTATCGTCTACAAAAGAGAAACCTGTCTCAGTTTCCAGTTGCCAGTGCGTGTCATAAGCGTATAAGTGTTAAAATGGAATTAATGCTTATAATTGCCGTTACTAGTGACAGTGCACCTCATTTTTCATTGATGTTTGCACACTAAATAAATAAACTTTTCATATAGATCACTTATTAAGTTAGTGAAAGCGCTAGCTATGTCCCTTAAAAAGAGAAGAAAAAAGTATATACATGTGGTAGTATCAGGGAGACTGTAATTTAGTAAGGGTAATATAATATTTACCAAAAATACTTATTTTCTATTTTTAACAATTTTTCGAACTCTCTAAAAGGATACGCCCATGGAATTGCATCACGGCACGCCTTATCTGTCGCAGTGGGTTTCTGCCTACTGTTTTGGCACTGTAGTATTGTCCAAGAGAATTAATTCGGTTTTATTTTCTAGACAAAAACAATTTCTTACCAAAATTTTCACGATTTCGCGTCTAATAAGCATAATTTGAATTTTCACAGACGGCAACATCAACCCCATGATGGTATTCGAGTTCATGCCGCATGGCGATCTTGCCGAATTGCTTCGCTCTCAAAGGAAATCCACAGATAACCTTGACGAAGACCAAGACGTACCTCAACTAACCAGGAGAGATCTCCTCTCCATCTCGCTACAAATAGGCAGCGGGATGAAGTATCTGGCAGCTCAGAGGTTCGTTCACCGCGACCTGGCGTGCAGGAACTGTCTGGTGGCCGAGGGACCGACGGTGAAGATCGCCGATTTCGGCATGAGCAGGGACGTCTACACCTGTGACTACTACAAGGTGATTTTGTTAGTTTTATTCGTTCAGTCACTCGCTCACTCACACATTCATTCGTCCATTTATTCAATCATTACTTCACTCATTCGTCCATTCATTCGTTCATTCATTCATCCACTCATTCGTTCATTCACTCATTCATTTTTCCCTCTTTCATTCTGTTTTAAAGACACTCGCATCGTTCTTGTCAGCCATATCATATTGTTATGCAATACTTCGCAATTCCTTAGCCTTAGTTAGGAATTTAAAAATAATCTCTATTCACACCCTGAACTTTATTTTGGTTCTTATTGGTCATCCTCAGTTCTGTAGCGGCTTCTTTAACGGAGGGGGTTCATCGTTCAGTGCTTCTAAATGCCTTCAGTACCGCCGCATGCGTTTCTAGACTTGTGGAGTAGGGTAGAGGGCGTGGCTTCGGCAGCATGACTTTACGCCTGCGCAGTGGACCCTGCGATGGGCGTGGTCGTCTGTGGTATCGCCAGACCCGTTGCATATTCTTTCAAACCTGTGTTCTTTTGGGTGAAGTAACTGGGTTTTACTCATTTGGAAGCCTTCTTCACAGTTCATATTCATGTCCTCCAGCTAACACCTGTTGCTTGGTTGAGCCTTAAAGCCTTTTCATTTTCCTTCCTTCTTGTAATAACTGATCTCTTCGTCACACTTAATAATCTTTCCTGCATTCAGAAAATGTATAATATACCCCAAGGGTAAACAGAGGTCTTTTATAGGTCCTGTTGGACCTTTCCTGAAGGGATGAATTTTAAGACTACTCCCTTTCTCTACAGCACCTTATCAGTATGGTCTGTTACATTATGGACGTAATTCAGGCATACTGCTTTTTGATCTTCGTCCCATAATAACCCGAAAACCATCGTACTTTAAATGATCTTGTTATTAATCTTATCGTACATTTGCAGATTGGAGGCTCGCGCTTGCTACCTGTGCGTTGGATGTCACCAGAGAGCGTCGTCTACGGCAGGTTCACCCTGGAATCGGACATCTGGTCGTACGGGGTGGTCCTGTGGGAGATCTACAGCTACGGCAAGCAACCTTACTACGGCCACACCAACGAGGAGGTGGTAAAGCTGATCCTGGACGGAATCATGCTCATCCCACCCGAAGACTGCCCCTCGCTGATCTGCGAGCTCATGAAGAACTGTTGGAAAACAGAACCCAGACATCGAATCACCTTCCCGAACATCTGCGACAAGCTGGAGCTGGCCTTTGAGGGCTTCGACGAGAAGAGCGAGTTGAAGTACGAGAACGAAATGAAGAAGTTTAAGCAGATGGGCAGCAAGAACAAGAGCCTTCCTCGGCCACCACCGCTGCCTGTGTTGACGCAGGCGGACCTGCTGGACGCGCAGGGCTACCTGCTGCCCAAGGAAGTGAAGGAGCCGGTGCATTACCTGGAGACGCTGCCGGACTGACCTAGGGCTAAGCCGTCCGCAAGGCGCATCGTCTGGACGAGTAACCAGCGCATCGGAGTCGATTTGTAGACCGCGTCGTTCCTCTTTGCAAACATAAGACTGATTTTACAATACGCTGTTGGATTGTATTCATTGTGTGACTAAATTGGTGCAACGACAGGGATAGTAGGTAGTATTTCGACAGGGACCTGATTTTGCAAGTAGGTTATGGCCGGAGTGTTGTGACTGAATTCCGTGGGCTTGAAGAGTTCGCTGGAAGACCATGCCAAGGAGGAGTTTTTGGTTTTCTGTCAGAATCCCACTCTTTAATTTTAGTATTATATTTCCCTTTTCCCTCCAAGACCTTCCTTTCTTGAGTTGGACGCTGAAATCACGGAAGTAGGACTTTTCAAAGAAAGCCACAATTTGGTGTGTTTACAAAGATATACAGGATGTTAATTAGGTACATCGACACACTTTAATTGGCGATTCTTTGGGTAATTCTAAAACGATTGGCGTATTGGTATATCCATAGATCCATAGTTTTTGAGATAGATCTCGACATAATATAATCCTTTTGGATTAAAATTACTCAAAATTTCACGAGTCAAGGTTTGTCGTCCTGTTTAGTTAACATTCGGTTTAGTGTATCCACGGATATAATTGAAAAATAAGAAATCTTTTTGTCAAACATTTTTATTTTGACATTTTTTCTACTAAAATTTTGTTGTAAAAAAGTCATTCTTTTTAAAAACTTCTGCGCTTATTCAAATGTAGTTTGAAGTTGGTCAACGTATACAGGATGTCCCCTGTTAATAAATTATTGGAAATACAGTAGTTGGAACTTAATAATAGATTATGCTAGTTATGAACCAATATTTTTTTTTTTGATATCTTATGTGATATCAAAGGAACCTTACCTATACACAATTTACAGTTTATTTGCTCTTCACAGGACTTAATTTTTCCGATATAAAAATATGCAACAAATTATTTTTTAATAATACTGGATCAGGTCAAAAGGTCAAAATTTCAGTAAAATACAATTTAAAAAGGTTGAAATATCAGGTTAAGAAAGAAAAAACAATATGAGTACCATTACATTTTAAGAGTAGGTAATTTCTATAATAATATAATATTTTATTAAACGTATGTAAACAAAATAAAAAAAGAATTGATAAATGTATAGAACTACAAGGTGGTTTAGTTGAAAAAGGAAATACTCGAATTTTTAATAGCATAATTTTGAATTTGAATACTTATGTAGAATATTTTGGTGTTTCTTTCCAATTTTGTTTTCCTTGACTGGTATTAACTTGTGGAAGCACTGTTAACTACTTGTTAGTGGTAGTTTGTATTGTTTTTTCTTTCTTAACATGATATTTCGACCTTTTTAAATTGTATTTTATTGTTTTTACTCATTTCTAAAAACCCCCTATATTTTCAAACTAAAATAAAAATTTTCAGTTTTTGGGACTTTTAGGCTCTATAAAAAAAAACATGCAATGACATAAATTAATAAAGTTTTGGGTATTTGGTTTTTAAATGGTGCTGAATAACGCAGTGTTGTCAAATTTCCAATAAAAAAATCCCTAGTACGATTTTCCAAAAACATCATTATTAAAAAAAATCATAGTAAGCTACGAAATAACGTGTGCCGGCTCTGTTAGACTCTGCATGCGCACTAAGCCTAGTTATTATATTTCTAAACATTTCTTTGTAGTCTTAAAACATATTTCGACATTTTAACAAAATTAAAGTTTTATTAACAATAACGACTTTTCCCATAAAATCAAAAATAAAAAAGTTTTTCCTGTTTTTAATTCCATCCGTAGATTTACTGTATGTGATGTGAAATCATCATCTACAAATTGTTGACATTTTATCGTGGTATTAAGGAAATAATGCGTAGCAAGTTTTATGTTTGAAAATATAGTATATAAAAGGAAATATGTACTAACGTATCAACTGAAATTTATCCAAAAAAATCATTTATAATGTCCTGCCATACTACAGTCTGGGGATGTATGGGTTTCAACAGCTGAGTAACAACAAATAAAAAATAACTAAAAGTCCATGCTTGAGAGTTGGATGACTGGATAGTAATTTCTGGAAAAATTACAAATAATTTGGTAAGTTCAAACAGCAATAATTCACTGATTCACAGTTAAAAATCACTCGTTTCATTCAAGTTAATAAAAATGAAGAATCGCCCTCAAATAACGTACCTCGGTACAAAAAATTATGTCAAATGTGCCCCCATCAACAAATAGATATTTGAGAGAGACAGACTTATACATAAGCATATGAAAGACAAGGATAAACAATGTGTTGTGGAAGTTCTATTGAAACGGTGTTAATGTAACAAAACAATAAAATTAAATAAAAAAAAACAAATATGAAGTGAAAATCAATTTCATACGTAAAATACGAAGTAAATTATCCCTAACAGCTGAAAGTTCGGATGGCATATTATTTATTACAAATTTGAAAGAACTTAGTTCTAGTTTTCCAAATTCACAGGTCAACAAGGGTCAAGAAGCAGACACACTAGTTTGCATCCCCGAAGGATTTTGGTGCGCTGAATCCGAATCTGGCCGCAGAATTGCTCTATCACGTCAGGTTTGTGAGATATCCTAACCTAAAAGTGCAAAAAACATAGTTTTTCGTCATATTTGAGGTTATGTAGTAATGCCATCTATTCTTTTTTTAAAAAAATACATATATTAAAAGTACAAGGGTCCCTCTTTCGAATGCCGTTGAGTTTGCTCAAATATCTTTTTTTTCGTTGAGATATCACTCATTGAAATGTCTAAGTTTATCAGTTTCTTAATTTGCGAAAATCTACTAAGGATCCCTTAGACGTTAAACAGTTGATTGCAGTTCAGAAACTTCATACTCAGAAACCTTCAATGCATACGAACTCAAACTCACAAACTCCAAACCCACACACCCCAATCCCACAGAACCCGAACCTACAAACTCCAAGCTTACAAACCCCAAGCCCACCAACTCCAAACCCACAAACCGTATGGGTATGAAGTTTCTGAATTGCAATCGACTGCTTGATGTCTAAGGGATCCTTAGTAGATTTTCGCATGTTAAGAAACTGAGAAACTTAAAAATTTCAACATGTGATATCTCAACGAAAAAAAAAGATATTTGAGCAAACTCAACGGCATTCGAAGGAGGGAGCCTTCTACTTTTAGATTCAATGTATTAGTTTTTTGAAAAAGAATAGATGGCATTACTATATAACCTCAAATATGACGAAAAACAGTGTTTTTTGCATTTTTAGGTTAGGTTATCTCAAAAACCTGACGCGATAGAGCAATTCTGCTGCCAGATTCGGATTCAGCGCACCTAAATCCTTCGGAAATGTATATTCAAGTTTCTGCCTCCAAAAAAAAGTTAAATTTTGTTGGTCTGTGAATGATTGTCACAAATTCAGTAGTCAAAAAAGCTGATTCCAATTATACATTTCGGCATATTCATTTCACCAGTAATTTTGTTTCGATTTAGAGGTTTTTTAGAGGTTATTTTTTTTTTAAATTGTAACAGTGGACAATTTTTATTTTGGGCACTTACTTGGTTTTGGAGGCAATAACTGCTGCTTCCGAACTTTTGGTTGTCAACAAATTCAACAAAATATTACTATTATTTGCCATTGTCTTCCTGATCATACAACTCAAGCATTAGAGAAGGACTAAACGAATATACATACATATCAACATTTTCAGTTACTTCTTATTTTTCCTTAAACTAAAAGTTGACGATGTTGTAATAAGAAAAAGTCGCTAGAAGTTTATTTTCTTTGTTCAAAAGCCTACACTGATCGAAGATCTTTGACTTACATTTTTTATGTAAAAGTACTACAGGGTAACCCACCAACATCAGGCAGGGTAGAACAGGTGCCTTAGAAAAGGGTGTGTGTAGTTAAGGAAGGTTGTAAGACGATTATAAATTTATAGGAAATCAATGACATTACGAGGTAATGATGATGGTAAGAATTTTGCGTACATATAAACCAAAATCAAATTTTCATGCCGTACACGATTACTAATCAGTAGTATGGAATATCGATGTGAATATTTGTATATTTAATTGTATATACCTTACACATAATACGTGAGTACAATTTTTTTAGTATGTGTGTCCATAGAAGAAGAAAAAAAGTATTCTGCTTTCGCTGCCAGTTTCATGATTTCATTCTCTTTGTTTTTCACAAAAAAATTGCCGACATCAAAATGTAAAATATTTCCCTCAGCAGCTGTAAAATCGTGCTTTAAAAAATTCCGATTTAACAAGGGAAAAATTTGAAACAATGAATGTTTGTTAATATTTCTGTGCCAAATGTAATTGAGCTAGTGTTACATTTTCGTAAACACGTATGGACGGGTGCAAGGGTGTTCGTTGAATTTTTTTATATGATGTATTTTACCAAAGACTTTACAAGCTATGTCAGAGAATAATATTAGGAGAGCTGTATTTTGAGAGTATATATGTTAAATCAAATGTTAATATTCTGTTAGTATAACAATAAATTATTTAATCGTTATTATTGTTTGATTTGGACCCTCAGGAATTATTTCACTGGCTTTCTCTTATTTTTAGTTTAAGGAGGTTTATCAGGGAGAGTTTCTGCAGATTCGCTAGTGACTAAAGCAGTAAGCTTTTAGATTTGGCAACGTTGCACTTGGCTGGCTTTGTTTGTATGCCTAAGCTTGAAATATACATCATATGTCACACCTGCGAATTTCAAATAATACGCTACTTCGAGAACCTCGGCGTTGCCGCTATCACGCATATGGAGGTTACGTTAGTCAACGACAGCAGTTTGAAGGAGAATTATTATAAATTATGTACCTTACAAGTAGAGATGAGAAATCCGGTTCATTTTGTTGATCCGGTTGATAATTAACTAGCAATTTAGAAAGCACGTAAGGAAAAAAAAGACAATTTTGGAATTAATTTTTATTAAATAATTATTTTTTGGTGAATTTATTGTTTTGTATTTATTTGAATGAAAATTTGTTTTCACTACTTATTTATCATTTGAAAAAGTAGCGAATAATACAAATAATACACCCGATACCTGCACTGTATGAATTGTGCGAGTGCGGGTGCACTACTCTTGATTTGGGTTCACCACTTCCGACATTCGAGGCAAAGATCCGAGAGCCGGACGGATCTTTGAGAAGAAACCGGTTCACTCGGCTCAGTACAAAGAGCCGGCTCAGTGAGCCGAATCAGTCATGTTCTGCCAATCTCTACTTATAAGTACCTAATCGATTTCTACGAGCTGTTATAGGATTCCTCAGATATCGGTTTCCTATTTATACAATTCTCATAAGACTCTGTACTAAATCGTGAAAAATTATTTTATTAATATCTCGTCTCTTAGGTATCCAAACTAGTTATATTTTTTTTTGAGAATTTTCTTCATATTTGTTCGTCAATTCCAAATTAGATAAACCTCCTTAAAAATTTAGATCAAATAAAAAAGCAGTTTTCGCGAAATATTGTTTTTTTTTTCATTATATTTTGAGACAATGAAACAAATTAAGTAGTTTTTCTATATTAATTTTTGTCCCAATAAATATTTTGGTACATATTGCATATAATTTAATTTCATATACTGTACTACCTCAGACCGAACCAGATTCAGACGTTTTGTCTCGAAAAATTTATCTTCAATGTATTCGTTTCAATATTGGGGATCACGAAGGCTTGCAAAAATGTAATAAAATTTCCAGGGTCGTATTTAAAAAAATTAAGTTGATGATGATTCTGGAGACACGAAATGTTACATATAAAAAGTGATTATGCTATTCGATAGAGAGCAAAAAGTTGCCGTGAGAAAATGTTCTTCTTTTTTCAATTTCATCTCAAACAAGGCTGAAATGAAACAAAAAAGAATTTTCAAAATTTCCGGTTTTTTTTTCAAATATGTCGAAAAGTAATCATGTTAGCCTTGACTTATTAGATGCATAATGTTGTCCCCTGATTATGCAACTTTGCCCCAGTGTTGCCAGATGACTAAGGTTGGTATTCTGCGCAGGTTGGTTGAAAATTCTGCAAATCCAATGAATTTTCTGCATAACCGTGCAAATCTCAAGATTTACTTAGAATTTATATAATTTACAGGCCTAAAACTATAAAAAATGGTTCTGTTTATTCTGTAGGTATTCGCAAAGAGTAATGCATGTAGGCACAATGGATCCTTCATGTCTTATTTATTAGTTTATACCTTATTTTTTGAGAAAACGCAAAGACGCCGGACGCCACACGTGTATGTCAGATGTTGACCATAAATAAGGGATTTCTATTCATTCACGAAAAAATTTGAGTGATGTTCAGGTCAATACCAATAAAATGATTTTTTTACTATTTTCTATGGCCTCCTAGAGGAGTTACGACCCTTTAAAAAGTAGTGAAATATGTAAAGTTTTATTTATTTATTTCCAAACAGTTTGAAATTTAGAAAGTGAAATTTGTCATGATATGTAGGCTGATAAGATGTTTCTTTATTAAATAAAATATCAGATGTGCCCCTGATCAACAGAATTCTGCATAATTGACCGTTACAATGAAAAAAATCTGTAATTCAGCAAAATGCCAAATTTTGCTGTAAAATTCTGCATTTTGCAGAAAAATCTGCAAATCTGGCATCACTGCTTTGCCCCCATTTAAGCTACTTCGCACTCTTACCGTTTCCAAGATCCCTGTAGTGAGAAGCGAATTTGTGCAGCCTGTATTCTTGTGTATAAAATCAGCCAAATGCCGCGTTTGCTGCTACTGCCATCTAGTCATTTCACAATGAAGATATAACTTAGAGGAGGCTGTAAATGAGAGTTATTCGTTGGTTGTTCCATCTTCAATTTTCAATGTTAAACTGGAATTTTTTATGCAGTTTTCTTTAGTAAATATTTTTCTGTTGAAAATAATTACTAAGAGATTGTACTTAGTTAGCAGTTATGACTAGAAAAATTTAATATTATGACTGCTTATTGTTATGTTCTTACACACAATTATTTTCTGCGTAATGATTACGACTAGATATCGAGTATTAGAGTTGTCTATATTTCACGTTACAAAAAACAGAAAATAGGACTTTGTTTATTTCACTATACCTTTTAAAGCACTGGAAATAAGATTTTCCATAACGCTGGACAAATGATATAGAAATCCAATAACAAAATAAAAATGAATTGAAATATCGATAATAAGTCTAGGTCGACAGTAATGTGCTCGCAAAACTTTTTAACAATGTTCTAAATGATTTATAATGGATTTGTTAAAGTTCTGCTAATAACAATAAAATGTATCCGAACTTTATTACTAAATTGCAAGGTATCAGGGTCGACATTCCATCACACTCCTTGATGGGTCTGCAAATGTCCTGTAACAAATTCCGCCTTAGTTTGAACAATTGGTTTTTCTGGACCACTGCGATTTTGTATTGCATTCCCCCAGATCAAATTTCGCATTTTCAGAGATTTTTCGAAATTCGAAACTATTGTGACGACAGCATCGGTCTTCTGCTGCGGTTGAGATGCTTGCGGGCGGCTGTTAGTCGTAAAGAATTTCGACGGAAATTTTTGAAAATGTGATTTTCCATGTACTTTTTGTGAAGAGTAATTTGGGTTATCTCAATTTTGGTCGAGAATGGTCATGCGTAGAATAATCGGAGCGGGCTTCGATGTTGCTATTGGAAAGTTGAGCAACAATTTTTAAATCCTTGGAATTCGACAGACTCAAAGCTCGAGAAGAAACAATTACGTCGTAATCTATGCACCAAAATATTGTGAATGAAATAATAGTACACTAAACTTTTTACCACAAACGTATTATTACTACAAATGTCAAATCATTTAGTAAACTGTGATGTTCTTCTTACAAACGGCTCTTTTCTGTGTAATTAGTCTTTAATATTATTTCTCCTCGTATGTACCATGAATTATGCCAGTAAAAATACTACAATGGAGATGTTTTATGATTCTGTCGATCAGTAAACGTAAACTACATCTTGGTGGATAAGTAGAATAAATCTAAATATTGTAACACTATTCATTTATGTAATTTCTTTATTTATCTACGAACTACATCAAATATATCATAGTACAATGTACAGAAACTAAAAAAATATCCTATTTCTTCTAAAGGTAACAATAATGCAGTAGTTAATAAACTTACATGAAAAACTGGTTTATGTACACAATGATATATTAATATTTGACTAAAACTTGATGGAAATGTTAAACGACATTTTCGACTATTATTAAAAATAAAATTCCTATGAGCTATTTTGCAACAAAAACAACGTGAGCTCGTGTGTATGTCATATTTTTGTTGAGATCTGTACTTTTCTATTCTAAAGAGAAATCAAATGATCGCTACGAAAATCTCAAAACTTAAAACAATTCAAATAATACAAACGTCTGTTGAAGATATTGAAAAGTCTGTTAACGGTATTGGAACCTGTATTGTACAAGTATTAACAGTAAGGAATATACAGTGAGGAAGGCTACAACTAACGTGCAACATGTCGGGCAAGCCTCCTGTCGTCAACGTCCGAGATGGCTTCGTCGTGGTTGCTTGTAGACGTGGATGAGAACGAAAGGCACTAATTCACGAACATCTTAAATACTAGAGTGGCACCCACGCACGATCCTCATAGTCTAGCCCGTTCACCGCCCGCACGTCTTCAGGTTGACCATGAAGAACACGTTGAGCTCGATGAGGCTGGCTAAGATGAGGAAAACCGCGTACATCAGCAAGCAAACGCGCCCCACCCTCTTATCCAGCTGGAACTTGTTCAAGGCAAAGGCCACGTACAGCATTAGGAGGGTCGACAGGAGGGAGATGGCGCTGTATTCTATTCCCGCCGAATTGATACCGACCTGGAAGAAATGTCTTTGAGATAGAAAAAGTTGTGGTAGAAACGGCGTACTTACAAAGTGTTTGCCAGCAATGGTGGGTATGAATGTTGCTTTGATGAACCAAGGAAGGCCCAGGCAGAGTAAGATGTCAAACGTGTTGGATCCGATGGAGTTGCTTATGCCCATGGAACCATGACCTGAACAAAAAAAAGTGTTCTCACACTGACAGTTTGTTTTAAACTTACAAGGCTATCCTTGAATTACGTTCCAAGTTCTCTAATCGATCAATTTCATAGACGTATTCACGTTAAAATTATATCTTCAATGGAAATTGTTCAAATCAATAGAATGTACCTTGTTTCGAAACGATGACGCTAGAAACTGCTTCTGGCACGCTGGTACCAGCAGCCAAGAATGTGATGCCCATTACAGAATCCGGAATCTTTAGAGTATCCCCTGAAAAGAACGATACACTTTTAGCACAACAGGATAAATTGAATTCATGATCACACGGCGTCCATAACATAAATTTACACCAACCTATAATGGTGATCATCCAGGCGACCACGTATGATAGAGATCCGATCCAGATGATGCACATTATGAAGGTCAAAGGGAACCACTTTTTGAAACGTGGTCTCTCGCAGTCTGGGATGGTGAAGTGGTAGATCAGATATATTGGCCAAGTTAGAATCCATGTAGCCTGAAAATTATAAAGTTTTAGATGTTAAAATCTCATCTGTTCCTTTCTATGAACGCATCAGACACAGCTTCGTTCATCAATCACTATTCGTAACCAATGAAGTTAACAAACTGCTTAGTCATAGTTTTGTAACATTGGAAGTTCTAAGACCCAGTATAATGTATAAATCAACATATACAGGGTGTATCAGGATTAAGTCGACAAACTTTAAGGAGATATTCCTCATAAAAAAATAAGAAAAAAATCCAAGTATAAATTTTTTCCAGAGACGCTTCATTTTCGAAATATAGGGCGTTAAAGATTTAAAAAAAATGCGAATTTTTAAAATAACTTCTAAATGAAGAAGTCTGTTTAAGTCAAATTTGGCATGACACATCTTCTTATAAGATACCATTTTTCCATAGAAGTAGAAGTCCTGCAAGCAACCAGTGGCGGAGTTCAGGTCAAACTCATTAAATTATAAAAAAAATTAAACCCAAGGGAAGGGGAGACAAAGAGGCTCATTTGACTCACACATACTCGAGACTGAGACCAATTTTAATAGGTACTATATTTTTTTAGGTTTTATGAGGAACGTCTTCCTAAAGTTTATCGACAGAATCCAGAAGCACCCTTCCGAAAAATCAATTTTGCCATGAAACTATAAGAGTTAGGAAAAAAAGTAACTGTACACTTTTTGTCAATAACATACTGTTCTATCTAAAAACAACATCATTTTTTATTTTCAGTAGGGCCGTATTAATTTTTTTATAATTTAATGAGTCTGAGTCCCCATAACTCCGCCATTGGTTGCTTGCAGGACTTCTACTTCTGTGGAAAAATGGCATCTTACAAGAATATGTGTCATGCCAAATTTGGCTTAAATAGCCTTCTTCATTTAGAAGTTATTTAAAAAATACGAATTTTTTTAAAAATCTTCACCGCCCTATATTTCGTAAATGAAGCGTCTCTGGAAAAAAATTTATACTTGATTTTTTTCTTATTTTTTTATGAGGAATATCTCCTTAAAGTTTGTCGACTTAATCCTGAAACACCCTGTACTTGAGTAATTTCTCAGGATAAAGAAAAGTCATTACAAGTGAATTATGTATGACAGATATCATTGTGCTTACCTGTGTGAACTTCCCCCTTCCAGCTGGCCACTTCCACAGCGAGTGGGGCTCTTCCTCTTCCACGTAATTGTTCACTTCCACCTTGTTGTTCACCTCGTCAACCTCCTGAGCGTCGTTAACTGGGATCTTCAGCGAACCGTTCAAATGCGACGGTGGATTCGAGGAATGAATCTGTGGTTCCATGGGTTGCACAACGCAGATCTCAGTGTTGTTGTCCTGGTCCTTTTCTATGCTCTTCTCTGTCTTGAGCGCTGTGTCCTCCGTTATCCGCAATGGAAGGTGAGCCTCCGCTGTTTCTGAGGGAAATTTAAGATCAATCAATTCAACTAGATGTGATGGGTAATAATATCCTCTACTTACCTTCTGATAGGGTTTCGGGTAAAGTGCTTTTTGGTGTTCTGTGCTTTCTTTTGTGCCTGAAGCCGCCTATAATAAAGTGCAAACGCAACATATAAAGACAGACGTACTGTGATTTGAAGAATAAAACATTGGTTTATACAGCAAGCACAAAAAATCCAAGATATACACACAAAAGTGAAGTAATCTACCGATTTCTTGGATTTTTGTGCTGTTAAGCACACATTATAATTTTCGTAAAAGTGTTACCTCTGACAAACTTCTGGATGGGCTTGTCAAAGTACATGATGAGAATGTAGACTGTGTACAGCAGCACCAGGCACAGGGCCTCGTACCACTCCACACGCTCGTCGTGGATGATGCAGATGAGGATGGAGACGGTGATGCCATAGGCTAGGCAGTCTCTCGTCAGCGGCCACCAGTCCAAAGGGACAACCTTCACGCCGCACTATCACAAGGAATCAGAAGGATTATCAATTATTGCTCATAAGTACGTATAAAAAGTGGTCTGGGTCGTGGTCGTACACCAGCCCAGTGTATCCCATAGGACTTTGACTCACTGAATCCAAATATAAATAAGAAGAAGAATCAGAATTCTTGAATCAGTTCTTTATTTGGTTCTAGCATCAAGACACTCCTCTAGAAAGCGGATTTTGAGATTTCAAAGAGACCTGAGTAGTCAATGAGTCAAAGTAGGATCAAGAACAACGAAAATGACACCTCAATAAAAGAGTTGAAGTTATAATAGAACAAGACTTATTGATAACGATGATGGCAACAGTACTTAGTGATTTTAATAATGCTTGCAACAATAGTTTCTGTAATTTTTTTGGTAATGTTTATACTTTTACTGTTTTACTGAGTTTGTGTCACTTTAGTGTCACACTACTAAATAGACTTTTTTTCAGGGGTCATTTGTCCAGTTAGCAAAGCGCTATCTACGTCCATATTAAAAAAGAAAAAAAATTGAATGCACGTGGTAGTAGACCATCTTGCCTACGAGAGCAGAATTGCTCAATACGTTCTTTAGTATAAATCAAAAGTACCTAATTACCTGCTGGATATACCACACTCAGCCTAAATTTGTAAGGCTAATCTAATTTTTACCAAAATCGACGTATCTATTTATTGTTCTATACTTAAACATTTTTAAAACACTCTAAAATGATACGCCTATATTCCCCGCATGCCTTACCAGTCTCACGGATCGAGATGTTGAGACCGAGTCACTGTCTACTACTTTGGCACTGACGTAGATGGTTGATTTAACAAATTTTTAAACTTTAAATTGATGTAAAACTTTGTTTAATTTACTAATAATTAATTTGACACTCACCATACCGGCACCAATTCCGCAGCAAGCAGCCACGGCAAGTATATTGAAGACCGCCGAACCCACAATCGTACCCACGCCGATGTCGCCCTCTGTGATGAACGTGCCTATCACGTTGACGAAGAGCTCGGGGGCAGAAGTGGCCGCCGCCATGAAGGTGGCTCCCGCCACGTCGGCTGACATGTTCAGCGCTGAAATATAAACAAGTGTTCGCTGAAAACATCCGCAAACTGATGGGTTTCTGATGATTGTGAGTACAAAGGCTTTGATCTGAGCCGTTACAGAGAAATTGGCGCCCGACGTGGGGCTAATTTCTAGAAACTGGCGCTCAACGTGGGGCCAAGTTCTCTGTAATAAATTCCCCAAGTGTAGTCGTTCGAATTTTAAGAATTTTAACTGTCGAGATTAGGTAGCAACAGAAGTCATGACCGCGCTGTATAAAATAATGCGTTAATATAATATTTATAGACAAAAATGTATGAGAATGATAAATGTTGGCTCTCATGTCGTGGAGAACATCGGCGGCACATCTTCGGGCTGGGGAGCAACAAATTCGGGCCACCTGTTCGCTGGAGTTGAGCTGAAAAATGGGCGAGCGATGACGCATGAAAACCAGGACTTACCGTGACATATTTTATCGACGGCCGGCACAAAGAATTTATCACAGACTACGGCCAGCGCCACGAAGAGGTAGAGGGAGATGAGGATGTGCACGATGACGGCGCCTCCCTGCCTCTCCTCCTCCGAGAACAGGTCCTTGGGGAAGTCGTCTATCGCAGGGGGTGTGCAATTAAGTCCTGCAAGTCAGGCCTAAGTTTTAATTACGAGATACTGAAAGCTGAGGAGGTTATTGCTGAGATAATCAATGATTACCAAATGTTCACTATTACTATGGATACACTTTTAAAAAAAATTACTCTTTACTTTTTCGATATTTGAATGGGGCAAAATGTGGCCATATGTAACAAATCCTGCGGTTTCACGGCTCGAGGTAAGCTCTCGGTCTAGGCTCTGTGGGTGTGAGAGCTCATGAGACCTGCGAAATTTTGATGTGCCATAGTCTTATCATTTTATGAGTGAAATAATCGAAAACATAGAGTATCATCCATAGTACTGTGGGTACACATGTTGGCAAGTGACCCATTTTTAAGCACGTCAAGAACGCCGCCGGACGCACCACGGGGTTCCCGGAAGACGACCCCTGCAGAGTGGCGCCAAGGAGCAGGGACTTCTACCAGCAACTACCAATATACCTACGACCGACTCCACACAGAAAGCACTCTCCAACGAACACTCACACCGTCAACAAGTTTTTTCCATACAAGTTTTCTATACAATAGTTTTCAATAAAATTCTTTATTATTACCGTTGAGAGAGCGTTTATTTCTTGCTGTACAGCGAAAGCAACCCTCAGTACAAACACATGATAGAAGACTTTTGAAATTTCCGAACACCGAAATAATTATTGATTAAAGAAAGCAAGTTTATTAATGTCAGTTCCATAAAAATCTAATTCGACATTAATTAGAATTGGAATTCAGTCGAAATCAAACAAAGATTATTATTTATTATTTTAAGAAAAATATCACAACGCATATCTTACAGTTACTGCGTATTTTTGACACGTCTGCGTGTATATTTTTTGTTGAAGCTGTCACACTAAATGAAAACACCAACAGTTACAATTACTATGTTTCGACCTAACTAAAATCTGCTGGAAGTATAATCAGGGATACAATTTACGTTTGAAATTTGCAAGGTAACAAAGAGATAGGAGTGTCCCACAAACTTGCATTATAATCGGGAAATGTGCAGCGTATTTGCTCCACAATGGCGTGCCTTGCACGAGCTACAGTCATTGTGATGGATGAGTAATTGAATTAGAGGTACAGAAAATCATGTACATATACGAATATCAGAGAATAAAATTCATTTCTAACAGAAATGTTCAACTGATAAAAATAAGTTTGATAGATCTCCATTTCAATGTTATGTTTCAAGAGAAAACAATGCTTTTGGTAGAATAATAAGTTCTGGAAATACCAATTTTTACTAATGTTCTTTTATAATGTATGAAATACCACCATAAAACCGCCGAGACTAGTTTTAGTTTTAATTAAAGTAGACAACATATGTCTTCATTAATCGAAATAATCACATTATTATGGAAATGGAATTTATATGAGTATTTTAACAACGTTTGGAATGGTTTACTTAAATTCTTTGGGTTAATTATCTAAGTCAAAAAATTAGACGGCTGTCCAAGTTAAAAACCAAATTTCTTTGGCAAATGAACAAGCGCAGACTCTCATCGATACTTTCACGTGTAACATTAAGTATTTTAATGTTATCAGACGGAGGTTGTCCAAAATTGAAAGAAAACAATAGAGCTACTTTTGGAATAATTATGAATTAAATGACTTGGTAATTAACCATTGTTGTATAATTTTCAACTAGTTTTCTGCATTTTTATATGCATCTTTCCAGTTGTCTCCATGAAATATGATAGCAGTACCACCGTCGTAAAAAATCATCTTGTTTTTGTCAATTGGAAATTTCATTAACATATAGGTATTTAAAAAATATGGGTCCAAGAACAGAACCTTGAGTAATTTCTACTTCTAATCAATCTAATTAATTAGTTATATTTTTATTAACTTCAACTTTTTGTATTAGTTTTTTAAGAAATATTTTAAAAATCTAACCCATGTTCCCCTGTATTTCAATATTACGTAATAATGTCGAATGAATCTAAAATACAAAAAGACATTGTTTCCATTATTGACTATTTCATTAGTCAATGCAGTTCCTGCATCTCATATCTTCGTTAAATCTAGAACCAAACTGGTCATGAATAAAATTTTCAAAACTCAACCATCATGGTTTTTAAACACCAAATATTTTAATAAAGTTGTTTGTGAGAGATATAGATCTGTTTATCATGGAGCTGGAGCTTCTGTAGATGATTTCCATGCACAAGGATTCACACTTGTTGAAAACAGTACAAACACAAATACAGGGTGTTCCAATTAAAACTTCCCACCTGGAAAATATCGGAATTAAAAAAAAACTAAAAAAAAACCTGAGAGAAGTCGATATTCTTTTCAGGGGGGGCACGTGATGGCGTAAGTTTTAGTGTCTTTTTTGTTTCTTTTTAATTCCGATATTTTCCAGGTGGGAAATTTTAATTGGAACACCCTGTATAAACAAAGAAATAGCTGGAAGAAAATATACAAAGCGCTTAAAAAATAAGGACAACACCCTCCAGTAACAGTTTGAGGATGTAGATTCCGAAAATGTTATTAGTTTTTACACGGACGGTCGACTTGAGTGAGTTCGGGTGTTCTGGAAAACATTTATTTTTAGAAGGTAATAACATATCTTTTTATTTTTTAGGTTCCGTCCAACATTTCCCACAAAAGCCCGCTGCGAAATCCAATTCCACCCACTGTTTACTCACACGAACCTATGATCTGGCCAAGCTTGTGAGTCTCTAGCGTTGTGACCTCTCAATGGAGTTGAACTTGCACTTAAGCAGTCAAACGTCGAATTGAATTAGCCGGTGATGTATTATTGTACGTACGTTTAATGAGTTAAAACGCGCTGCACGCCGTACCGAAAGCCAACAAAGGACTAAGCATGGCGAGTAGATTCATCGATATATGTTCATCGAAAATGCCCAGCATGCTTATGTTTGAAGAAAATTCATCGCGTGGAAAGTGATGACTTAATTTTGATTTGTTTTTAGTATCATTCTGCAGTTGAACAAGTATCAGTATAATAGTTGAACAAATTGAAACGAAACAATTTTGAAAATCTCGTTTTAACTTTAGATTTTTAATTTACTGGAACGAAACAACTTTTTGGTTCTAGAACACGCTTTGTTCTAGTCACGGTGACATTTTAAAGAAGCGAAGTTGTACCAAGGTGTCTTGATCGAAGTCGATTTCACCTAAGCAAACTGCCTACGAATATATCGCCATTCCCTTTGGTCTGCGTGATGTCTGAGCTAGCAATTAAATACTATTAGAGATCCGGACAAGCTGTTGTTTAGTTGTTTGGTAGCTCCTTGACCTGTGTGGCACCTTTGTAGAGAGGTTCTGCTATTTTTCACCACATTGGAACTTTCGCACTAAATTTGTGTACACCGTCACTACTTTTCTCACTCTATACTGGGTGTCTCCAACTCGATAGTATGGGCCTACTGTGAAGATACAAACAATTTAAATATCATTTGAGACTCGTGGTGTTAAATGGGTTAATATGTACAGAATTTAACAATATTGTATGCATAACTTAATAATACTACCTATAATAATAATTTTCACAATTGTGATGAAAATTGCGATAAAAATATTAAGTACATTTCCAGTATAATTATACAGCTGACAACAATGATATAATTAGACTGTGAATAGACCAGGCTTCATCTAGAAATGTAAATAAATAAGTCCCCTTTATTTAAATGTCCTTGGTTGGTGACAACCAGCAAGCTGATTTTTCTGGGAGGGTTTGGTAATAAGATTTGAAATGAAAATATCTTATTGTCCGACAAAATTTTTGAGAAGTTTTTGCAGTCCGACGCCGCGAAGATGTCGACTTAACGACAACATGGTTGGTGATAAGCAGCTGTCGGACAAAAGCGTCATTATTTGAAAAAATGCAAAATTAATCTGAGAATTTAATTGTCCGACAAAATTATCGTTTTTTTTGCTTGTCCGACAAAAAAAAACTATAAAATTTTGCGTTTTCAATACTTACGCATGATGTAGAAAAAAATTTATAATCAATAAAAAAATATATGAATAAAAAATTGTTTAAATTTCTCAAATTTCAAAATAAATATGACTAATTTAAATTATTTTTTTTATAGAATTGCAAAAAAAATGTATACAGGGTGGTCCCGAGCTAATAGGTCAAAATTCATGGGTAGATTCTCGAAGCAAAAATATTGCGATTTAGCCAAACTTACCTTAGTCCAAAAGTTGATAGTTAAGTAGAGGAATTGAAATGTGTTCACATTTTTGGTTAAAGTTCATAGAGGGCGCTAGCTGCAGTAGATTGAATGTGTTAAAAACGACATAACTTTTTTATACTTTAAGGCATCTCATTTTTGGTATCAAATTCTTATTTTCCAAGTTTTTTTACACAAAAAAGCTACACATTATAAAACTAACAGTCTCGCACCGTTTTCGAGATATTTGGCTTTGAAACTTCCAATGCTGTTGAATTAAATTACAATGAAGTACCTACCTATTATTAATTTAGCGGTGAAGTTTCTTAAGTTTGGACGAAAATCAAATAATTTACATATTCCACTTGTCTTATTGCTGTCATTTGTATGCTACTGTCCATTAAGTATTATTCGTACCTAAAATTACATCTTAATTTAAATTGTATGTACATAAATGTGAGATGGAATGCCGAGACGTCCGTTTTTGGGGTTACGTAAAATCAGTAGTTGTTTATGGAGAAACTATAAACACCTGTTTTGTGGTTGGGTGCGATAGAATGAGAGCGACCAAACTGATGGGGACTTTAAGTTGCCCATCATTGTACGTGGGCCCACGGACTAATATGTACATATTACTTGATGTTTATTTAATGTTATTTACATTTCCTGAATTTTGCACGCCAGTGGAACATACAGAAAGTCGCGTGCGGTACTACAAACATAATCACACCCCGTAGAATGCTTTTAGGAAACTGTTAACACGTGTATAAATCACAATTATTGAGTATTTTTTAAAATTTGCTAGACAAAACAGGAAAGGTACATTTTCTGATGTTTACACAT